ATGCCCCTGCCCATTACAGGACAGGGAGGCCCGGGTGAGGGTGATTCCGTACCTGCCATCAGTGCTGACCTTGTGAGGGAACCTCTTGGGAGGCTGGACACGTTCAAGTCAGCCGGCTCTGACAGTTTACACCCCAGGGTACTCAAGGAGTTGGCTAGCATCATAGCTTGGCCACTGGCTTAGATCTTCAAGAACTTCTGGCACTCTGGTGTAGTGCCCAAAGATTGGAAGAAGGCCAGTGTGGTGCCTATCTTCAAGAAAGGGAGGAAAGTGGATCTGGCAAACTACGGGCCCATCAGCTTGACCTCTATCCCGGGGAAGGTCTTAGAAAAGATCATCAAAGAGGCCATTCTTAACAGATTGGCTGATGGCAACATCCTGAGGGATAGCCAGAACGGGTTTGTTGCAGGTAGGTCTTGCTTGACCAATCTTATTTCCTTTTACGACCAGGTGACCTATCACCTGGACAAGGGAGAGGAGATTGATGTCTTATATCTTGACATTAAAAAAGCCCATGATCACTTCTTAGCAAAACTGGCCAACTGTGGCCTCGGCCTCACCATGATCCGCTGGCTGAGGAATTGGCTCCATGGTCGGATCCAGAGGGTGGTGGTTGATGGAAGTCAATCGTCATGGTACCCTATGAGCAGTGGGGTCCCTCAAGGCGCTGTCCTTGGGTCTATGCTTTTCAATATCTTCATTAATGATGTGGACATTGGTATCAGAAGCAGACTGGCCAATTTCACTGATGACACCAAACTTTGTGGTAAAGTGTCCACACCTGAGGACAGGTGGGTGATTCAGGCTGACCTTGACAGGCTCAGGAAATGGGCGGACGAGAACCTGATGGTGTTTAACACCAAAAAATGCAAGGTTCTCCATCTTGGGAAGAAAAACCCGCAGCATCCTTATAAGCTTGGCAGTGCTATGCTGGCTAGCACTATGGACGAAAGGGACTTGGGGGTCATGATTGACCACAGGATGAACATGAGCCTGCAATGTGATGCTGCAGGTAGTAAAGTGAGCAAAATGCTGGCTTGCATCCATAGATGCTTCTCAAGCAAATCCCGGGATGTCATTCTCCCATTATACTTGTACTTGGCCT